TTATGGATTTCCTTATTTCGCTTTAGAAAAAACGTCAACTTAGAGGACAAGTTCGGATGTATTTACAATAATAAAAAGAAATTGAGAAATCGACAGTTTTATTTACAATGCCAATTGCTTTCTCAACATATTAATACAAATAACCATTTTCAGTTGGTGAATGTTTTCACTATTTTTTTTAATGTTAAGATGGAACTCACTTTTTCCGTCTATTCCATCAAATACTCTCAAACTACAGATATAAATTATTTTTTAGAGCCAAAACCGGTATTTTTAGTGACCCAGAGAAACTGTCAACTATGATGATTTATTAAAGATTCAATTTTATATTATCGATGTCGAGATTTTCCCTTTGTTCTTGAATTTTAATTTTAAAAGTCAATCCACTAAAAATACCATCATTACACAAAAACGAACATTGAATGTTTACTATTTCAATGTAACTTTATGTCAAGAATCGTTTCATATGCACCAAGAAATATTTAAAATTAAGTAGTTCCAACCACTTCACTGTTTTGTTTAAACTCAAAGTTTTGAACTTGCGCGCCAGCGGTATTTTACGCCGCAATTCAGAATGGGACCGAGTTTGATTTCATCGTCTTCTCTAACTAGTTTTTCTTTCGGTTTCATACACGTAAATATATTAATTAGAAAAATGGTCGTAACAACGAGGTCAAAATCGCTTCCGGGGAAGTGTGTCCAATCAAAAAACGCCTTTTCTAAATTGTTCTTAGAATTAAATTGTTCATAAGAAAAAAGATGATAGGAAGCGATTTTATGATAATTTAATGTTTCATACCATTTTCACTGTACACTAATGTACATTGTACTCAGAAACTGACAAGAAATGCCTTTCATTAAAAATGCATGATTTTACATAGAAAAAATATTTTTTTTTAATATGACACATCACACAATATTTGCGGTGAACATGTATGATTAATTTAATAGTTGTACTACAGTATTAAAGCAATATCATAATAAATGGCAGAACTGATAGTGAAAATACCTAAAAAATACTTAATAAACCCCCTTTCCCTTTCCTAGGAAAAAACAGCATAATAAAAAAGACAAAGATTTAGGCATTTCCTGTCAGTAGAAAATCATTCATATTCTAATTTTCTGCGGTTTCCCACAACAAATTATGACAAAATGTCTTCAGTCTTAGAATTTTCAATATGTTCAGGATGAGCAACCATCCTTCAGAGGTTTGAAAGACGTTCCGTGGTCATGGTGGATCTCAGGTAAGAGAATACTCTTCTCATTCCTGAAAATTATCTCACAGCCTCATTAAAGGTCACTGGAAGGGTAAGGGTTATCTGTATTAACCGTCGTACTAATGGAACCAATTTCATTATACCAGTTTTAATTGCATCTTGAATGGAGCTTGGAACTTCTTCCTGTCGCAGTAAATGGCTGTGAAAGGTGAGTAGCTGTGCTTCTAATATTTTGTTTCATACTCTGAGAAATCGTTGGCATACAAATTTACAGCTGATGACAATGAGGAAATCATTTCCTCACTGGTTTTGTACCATACATTTGGGATCAAGCCCAAGAAGCTTGGAAGCTGATATGCTTGATTTTGTAAACCTTAATCATGCTAGGGGACCTGCCCCCCCCCCCCCTAGTTGCAAGCCTATTATGATGGAAAGAATTTTCAAGTTAAATGATAGCTAAATACCAGCACAATATTGTGTTCCATGAAAGGTAACTGAAGAAGTTACATTGTCCTTCTCTCCAGGTTGTAAGAATGACAAGGAGGGGCCTTCAGGTTTAAGTTCTTAGTTGATCTTGTTTCCATATAAGTTTAAATTTTATAATCCAGAATACAAACAGCTCCCTAGAACAAAACAATTGGGACAGGGGTGTACAAGGGGTGGGCAAGCCCCCCCCTGTGAGTGCCCCCCCTGAGGGGCAATATTACATTGCTTCCATTTCCATATTTAGTTTTCATCCCTTGAAGCTTACACCACAGTATAAAGAGGGATTGCCTGATCTTGTGCCACCCCCCCCTCTTGGCAACCTTGGGGTGCTATGGAAACGCCTCAACACGGAAACGTCTCAACACGGAAATGCCTCAAAACCCAGTTTTTGAGGGGTTTCCTCTTTATTTTGAGGCATTTCCTAAAATTTTTGAGGGGTTTCCGCTTTTCACCTGACAATTATTTTTGAGGAATTTCCCAATATTTTTGAGGGATTTCCCAATATTTTTGAGGCATTTCCGCAAAATTTTTGAGGCGTTTCCGTATTTTTAAAAACCTGATTTAGTTGAGGTGTTTCCTCTTTTTTTTGACTTCAATTATTAGAGTCGATTTCTCTTTTTCCTTACAGGTTTCCAGAATTTTTGGAAGAGTTCGTTTTTTTAGATAACTTCTTAAATTCATTATATAGGAGACTTATCAGAAAATTTCGTTTCTGTTTTTTCAATAAAGGCTTTTAAAACATAAAGTTGAGACATTTCCGCACATTTTTCCAAACAGTGTACAATTTACTTTTTAAAAAAATTGAAATTTCATTTTAATTTTTAAAAAAAATTGTACAACATTTTTTTATTCTCGTACTATGACGCATTTCTGATTAAGAGAAGAAAAAAAATCGTTGAATTTTTTCGGAAATTTCAAATGTTTCCAGCAAGTTTTAACCACTTTAGCAAGCCATTTTCATATTTATTTAAATTAGTATATAACAACTTCTTATTTATTCTTATTTCAATTTTTGTTTTACTTTAAATAATGCATTACATACTGATTTTTATTGGATAAATTGGATGCAATATAACAGGCAAGGTCAAGAAAATACGACTCGGGTCTAAGCTGTTGTTGAGCCTTATATACGGCTCGGGCTTTCGGATTTAAGTTACATCTATTTTTCAACAGAATTTAGTTCGTAAAACCGGTTTAATGTTGTATTTGGCGGATTTTCATAGTTGGAATTGGCGCATTCCGGGTTTTGATGAGAAGAAGACCCAACATTGAGCCTTATTCTCCACTAAAACCAACCGGTGACATGGAAACGCCTCAACACGGAAACGACTCAACACGGAAATGCCTCAAAAAAACAGAATCATAAAACTAATTTAATGTCGTCTTCTAACATTAAAAAAAATTTAACAATTATTTTACCATTAATTTAGGGTAAGTTAGGTTGTGCCGCAGGCTACAAAGGGGGCCGAGCACTGCGGCTAGGATGGCTATAAGGGGGGCCGAGCGCTGCGGCCAGGATGGCTATAAGGGGGCCAAGCGCTGAGACTAGGACAGGCTAGGGGGCCGTGCGCTACGTCTAGAACAGGCTAGGAGACCGAGCGCTGCGGCCATGGCTGTGAAAATCAGTAGAATATAGTCTTTTTAATTCTAAGTTGAGAGAAGACGACATTAAATTAGTTTTATGATTCTGTTTTTTTGAGGCATTTCCGAGTTGAGTCGTTTCCGTGTTGATGCGTTTCCATGTCACCAAACCAACCAAGGTCGGTTTTATTTTCATTGGGCTTAACTCCTTAAGTCGAGCCTAAGATCTCGCAGCTGTCAATCACGTGACACAAGCTGTCATCAGAGTTGGGTCTAAGATTGGGTCTTAAAGCTGCGTTTAAGGAATTAAGACTCGAGCCGAAGCTTTTAAATCGCGGGCTCAGACCACGCTTGTTTTAAATGTTGCTTATATCCTGTAAATTGTTGTTTTTCACTCCTTTTTCCAGTCAACTTTTACCTACAACGCTGAATATTTTTTTAGAATGGGGTGGATTGTTATCGCTGGTATCCTAATCCCTTCCAGCCTTGCCTCCAGTGAAACCCCTCCAACCCTTAATCCATGGAAATCCTTCTCCCTCCTCCAAGCCTCCCTCACCCTTATCCCTACCACCCTCCCTGGTTTGCCCTCCCTCCTTGGACATTCCAAACCTCGCCAAATCCTACAACAATATCAACCAGTACTCCATGATCCTCTCAAGAATCCAATACTCAGACTTGAACACGGCAATATTTACTAACTCATCAGAGGCTATATCCTACATCACAGCCCCCACCCTAACAGAAGCTGAAGCATCCTGTACCAAATCCGGCCAACTATTTTCCATCAACTCCGCCACATGGTCTTACGCTCAGGTTTCCATCGAAAACTATGTCAAAAACACAAAAATCAACTTAGCCATCAAGTTCAGCCTATCCTTGGAAAACAAACCAGTCACCAACGACAACTTCCCCATCGACATACCCAACCAACCCTTTGATAGCACCAAACCCTACTTGATCTTCACTCCAGCAGGAACAAAATTTGCATCATCTACCACATCAACCAACTCAATTATATGCACAAACCCAAACAGCGTCCTCAACCCCAAACTCCAATCAGTCCAACAAGCCATAGAAGCTCAATCTGTAAGCATAGATTCCAAGAAAACAGCCATAAAGAAAAAAAAAATACACACCATAGTCCCATCCAATTTAATCCTAAAACATCCAAACCCTCACCAAACCCTGTAGGTATAAAATGCCCCAGTTTTATAAAATAAAAGTATAAAGTGTCAAGTTCTAAGGTAGTGAGATTCATGAAAAAAATAAAAAGTGAGATTTCAAAATCCAAAGTGAAAATATAAAATTTAAACTTTTATTTTTAAACTGTGGTATTGGCGGTAGTGAGATTTGAAAATTAAAAATCAAAAAAAAATTCAAACTTTTATTTTCAAACTGTGGTATTGACGGTAGTGAGATTTCAAAATTAAAAAACCAAAAAAAAATTCAAACTTTTATTTNAAAAAAAAATTCAAACTTTTATTTTCAAACTGTGGTATTGACGGTAGTGAGATTTCAAAATTAAAAATCAAAAAAAAATTCAAACTTTTATTTTTAAACTGTGGTATTGACGGTAGTGAGATTTCAAAATTAAAAATGATGATATAAAATTTTCAAACACTGGTATTGAAGGTAGTGAGATTTCAAAATCCCAAATGAGAATATAAAATTTCAACTTTTATTTTTTATTTTTATAAAATTGATAAAAAATTTTGTACATTCATGATTATTTACAATTTTCACTGGTTGTCTGATAAGGGAATACCATAAATGTTTTTGTTTCACAAAGTCATGTTTCAAATATTATTTTAAGTATTACATGTACTCTTATAAAACATATTGGGTAATGTTTCTTGAGTTTACTGAAGAAAAAATGTGACATTACAAAAAAAATAATCAAAAGAAACCTAGAATAGGTGGTGGAAAAATTAAAAAATAAAAACATTTATGGTAAACACCTCTTATGTCAGTTATAAAATTATTTGTTAATTTTGGTCCTATTTCAGTTGTATCTTTATCAAATGCGCTTAGTTTTGTTATGATACATTTATCTAATTTATCTTTTGATAATTTAGAAGTGTTCTCCTAGTCAATTGATCTTAAAAGCAAATGAAAATTAGCCACTTTCATGGTGTCACAAGTTTTAATCTTCTGTAATTTCAGTAAATAATAATTTTAAAATTCCCTGCCAAAACAACAGTGTATGGATGCTTTGTATTAATTTTGCCTACAATTTATAAATATTGAAGTTAAAGGGTTTGTAAAGGAAAAATGAAAGGGGATATAGGATGAAACCTGAGAATCTTAGGCGTTAAAGGATACATATAAGACATCAAGACATCTATCTGATGTTCCTGTCTCAAGAAATTGATATAAAACTGTGTCATAAATATACAAAAACAGATATATACCAGATTTTGTATAAGAATTGTAATATTAAACAGATCATATTTATATATAGTTCGTATAGTTTGTATTACGTCACTTAAACCAATGGCAATGCAGTATACTGGTTATGTGATACAGAAGGAAATAACGTGACCAGTATACTGCAACGCCATTGATTGAAGTTCTTTGACGTAATACGAACTATTCTTATACAAAAGCTGATACATATCCAATTTGGTATAAATTTGAAACAGTTTTATATCAATTTCTCGATATAGGAACATCAGGTTTCATCCTATACCCCCTTTCATTTTTCTTTTACAGTCCCTTTAAAATATCAGGTAGTTTTATAAAAGCTTTGGTTACAGAATCTTATCTTAGTAAACTCAGTTGTTCTCCTTACGTTTATAATTTCAGTACATTTGCTAAATAAAAATAAAACAACTTAAGCAATGTTTAAACAAAAATTTCTTCTGAAGTTTATAATTGGTATTAGGTTATAAAGAGCATGTTTCCCCAGGAAATTTCTTAATTTGCCCCTTTAGTTAATCTCTGCCAAAAAAGTATAAAATATTTATTAAACTTCAAAGCGATTTTTTTTCATTAATGCATAATACATATTTGTGTCTAAGAACACAAGCCCTAAAAAAAGTCTCCCAAGCTACGAATTTAAATCTTTCAGTCAAAACAATCATTTCTTGTAAATCATGGTTCAGAACGCATTGAAAAATTTAAAATATAACACATTTTCACAGATGAAATATAATTATCCAATTGGACGATCTATTAAATAACTGAAAAAGGTTAACAAAAAATCAGTTATATCATTTTTTTTTTTGGGGGGGGAGGGAGGAATAAAATTAATACATAACATCCATAATGTGTGAGCAGTAAATACATTTGATAAAGACACAACCTTTTCGGCCTAGTGGATCTATTTTCGTTTCCGCTTAGCACCTAAACAATAAATCATCAATATAATTCACAATACAGTCATGAAGTTGGAGAAAGTTTAATTTTTAATATCAAATTCTTCAAACTCAGAGAATTCTTACTTGTTAATTTTAAGACTTTTTGCCGTATTTCTGCGAAATAAAAGCTGAAAAAAATCATTTGTAACAACTGAGAAAAAATAATTTTCCAATATGTTGGTGGGGGTGGGGAAAATGATTTATCAAGAAAATATATTTGGCCCATGGATATCCTCATATTTTTACGGTTCCGGATCCAGTCACCTAAAATGTTGCTGATCAAATGGATCCGGATCCTAAGCACTGGGCAGAGTATTAGGAAGAACTTGAAAGGATAATTATATATTGTATGCCAATAAACATTGGAATTAGAGGACGAATTTAGAATAGTATTCGTTCAACTATGAATTCAACCGCGGATCTGATAATACTTATTTAACATTAGAACAATAAACAAGAAATTTGTCCCAGTTTCATTTTATTAAAAAAAAGTGATTACAACTTTAAACCACTTTTGAAATTGTCTGAAGATGTACATTATTGTTTACATGCAAAAGTATCCTTAATTAAATACAAGGGTAAATATAAAAAACAATTTTTTGGATGTTGACCAGGGGATTATATATTCTTAAAAAACCATTTTCCCCAAAATATGTAGGGATGTATTGCGCATTGAGATTGCTATTAACTGGTTATTGATTTAAATCAGTGTTTCGGATCCATATCATTTTGTTTCGGATCCGGATCCGCGGATCCGCATCCGTGATGATGGATCCGGATCCGGATCCTGATACGGATCCGGATCCGGATCCGAGGTAACTTTTGATTCTGTGAATCAGATTATCCCTATTAAATGTTATGCAAGGTTATAATTTATAAACTATAGTAATCCTAAAGTTAAAAATGTCGTCATTACTATTATATAAATGTAAACATTAAATTATTAAAGATAATTTTGAAAACCCTGATTTAAATAGTGCATGAACTAGCTCCTCATCCCTAATTTTTCTCTAAAAGGGCATTGGCTGTAGAAAGATTTAAAAGAACCACAGGGGTATATATTTTATTCGCAAATAATTCACCAATACCTTTTCTGCTTCTAAAATCCCTTTAGTAATTGACCAGTAGGAAAATTACAAAATATACAAAAATGCATGCAAGTTTGGGATTCAATTAATTTTCTCCCCAAAGCATCCCTCTTCATGGTTAACTCTTTCAAAATAAACACCCTTCAAGAATTGCCAAAATTTACAAATTTATAAGAAATAAAATGTTTTCTTTCAGTGTTTGGGTAGGGTGATAAAAAGATTTATAAAAGAATTTCATGCTCTTGGCATTTTAAATCAAACTGGTTACCCTTTTTTTGATCTTGACTAAATTAAAGACTTCTAATTTTTTATTTATTTTAATACATCTTTACCTTCACATTGCGCTTTCTCTTATTCTTAACAGGAGGGTCACCAGTCACCACCTGATTTTCTTCTCCTTCCCTTGGCTGATTATCTACTTCTTCCCCATGCGGATTATCTTTTCCTCCTTCCCCATGCTGTTTATCTTCTTCTTCTTTCCCATGCTGATTATCTTTTCCTTCCCTCTGCTGATTTTCTTCTTCTCCTTCCCTGTGCTGTTCATCTCTTTCTCTTTTCAAATGATGATCATCTTCTTCTCTCTGCTGAATATCTCCTCCTCCTTCCCTGTGCTGTTGATCTTTTTCTCCTTCCCAGAGCTGATTATCTTCCCCTTCCCTGAGCTGATTATCTTGTCCTTCCCTAAGCTGATTATCTTCTTCTCCTTCCCTGGGGGGATTTTTTTCTTCTCCTTCCCTGAGCTCATTATCTTCTTCTCCTTCCCTGGGGGGATTTTCTTCTCCTCCTTTCCTGAGCTGATTATCTACTCCTTCCTTGAGCTGATTATCTTCTCCTTCCTTGAGCTGATTATCTTCTCCTTCTTTGAGCTGATTATCTTCTTCTCTTTCCCTGGAGGGATTTTCTTCTCCTTCTTCCCTGAGCTGATTTTCTTCTTCTCTTTCCCTGGGGGGATTTTCTTCTCCTTCTTCCCTGAACTGATTATCTTCTTCTCTTTCCTTGGGGCGATTTTCTTCTCCTTCTTCCCTTAGCTGATTTTCTTCTTCTCTTTCCCTGGGGGGATTTTCTTCTCCTCCTTCCCTGGACTCAATATCTTCTTCTCTTTCCCTAGGGGGATTTTCTTCTCCTTCTTCCCTGAGCTGATTTTCTTCTTCTCTTTCCCTGGGGGGATTTTCTTCTCCTCCTTCCCTGAACTGATTATCTTCTTCTCTTTCCCTGGGGGGATTTTCTTCTCCTACCTCCCTGAGCTGAATATCTTCTCCGTCCCTGAGCTGATTATTTTCTCCGTCACTGAGCTGATTATCTTTTCCGTCCCCGAGCTGATTATCTTCTTCTCCTTCTCTGGGGGGATTTTCTTCGCCTTCCCTGAGCTGATTGTTGTCATCCCCCTCATTTGGCAAGGGGTCTCCATCTTCCCACACCTGCTTCTCTGCAGCCCCATATCCAACCTATGATTAAATAAAAAATTACACAAGTTGGGCAATTTGTTTCAAACTAAAGCATTTCTCATCAAGCTTTTTAAATCAATTAAATTCAAGTTTCCTTGCCACATTTAACCAAGGTGAAAACCATAGATTAAGCAAGAATGACCATTTCTTTTAAAGCACACATGACAGTGGTGTTTTTAATGTTGTCTCTTGCTACCACACACTATTCATAATACCAAATTCTATTAACAAAATGCATTTAGTATTGATTGAACATATGTGGCCTTCTCAGGTTATTGTCATTCTTTCTTTGCAGTTAATAAAAAGTTCATAATTTCAAATCTTACAGGGTACACCTAAAGTGATGGATCGTTAACATTTTTTTTTTAAAAACGATCATTTAGTTATGAAAACGACGACGAAAAAAAGAGAAATAAAACTATTTTAAGAACAGTTTGTTTAATAACGATCGTTTTTAAAAACAACCGTATTAATTAAGTTCGTTGTCTCGTTAACGATGGTTAATGACAACCCTTCATTATAACAACAACACTTCGTTAACAATTGTTAACGACGACCCTTTTTAACGAAGAGAGGAAACCAACCTGAAGGGCATCGGTACTTATCAATGATTAGTTTTAAAGAAGATATCAAGAACTTTCACGTCACCCACAACTTTTTACCTGCACGTAAGATGACATTCGATAACGTTGCATGTAAAACGTCGTCATAAATGTCGAGAAATATATTTAACAAAAACATTTGTTTTCTTAAACACGACCTTTTTTTTTATAAAATTCGTCGTTTCCTTAACCCTTTGATAACGATCATTAACATATTTATCAATGCCATTTTTTTCAAAAACGATATTTTTTTGTGAAACAAATCAATTAAAAAAGGGTTGCTTCTCGTTTTTATACAAATGTGCGTTTTCTAAAAAATCTAAAAAATTGGGTAATTTTCAGAAGAAATATTTTTTTTTCCTAAAACGAAACAATCGTTTTTGAAAACAATCAAGAAATTAAATAAAAAAAACGATTATAAACCATAGGTACATAACAAAGGATGCTACTTCCGAGAAGACATTACGGAATATACTTGCGTAAAGCAGTACCACTGCACTTGTCATGCTAACCCTGAAATAGTTTCGGTAAAAAGTGTCAAGGATTGTTTGTGAGGAGTAGTTATGTGTGCCTCAATAGTGTGGCCAGGAAGTCATAACAGATTGATCGATAGAATTCATAATTATCATTTTTACTACCTAATCACTGGTATTGAGTACACGAGTATACACTCGGTTGAAAAGGTCCTGGTACTGAGGGCGACAGGGAAGGATGCGGTTCTTCTTTCTGGAGACTAAAATATCCCAATTTAATTGAAATTTGCCAATAAACAAATGTCATAAGAGTCTGAATTAATTTATGTAATTGTTGAAGATTCTAAACAGTGCTTAGGATCCATTAAATTTGTATACGGATCCCGGATCTGCACTGTAAAAAATGGATCCAGATTTGGATACAAGTCATTTCTTTAAGATTTACTGAATTTCTTTAACAAAGCCGAATTATTTTTCTTATTTGTTTCGCATTTTTATGCTAACACTTGATGAAGCATTCAGAAATCCAAAAAATTTATAATATATTTTTCTTATTAGTTTAGCTGAGGGGTTAGAGAGTAAATCTTTTTTTCTGCAGTTTTTGGTTCATTTTTTGCCCCTTTAATCGATCTGTGGATTTGCACATTTTTATGGATCCGGATTCAGGTAGCCAAAAACTTGCGGATCCAATGGATCAGTATCCTTTGCACTGTTTCCAAATTTTGATAGGATGAATAGGGAGAGAAATTCAATGCATTAAATGAAATGAAATAAACAATATTCATAACTTATATACACATGAAATGTAAGAATTAAAACTTTTAAATTATTGATTGTTGAAATACAAAGGTTATATTTATAACTACACCTAAAACATGTTAAATAGTCTCTTACATGCTTGTATATTGCTGAAGCGGATTTCTTGCATTTCAGAGAAAACCTTCTGATTCTCCGTGTATACGCTATATTCCTTTATAGATCCTTCAACAAACCTAAAAAAGTTACCTTGCAAATTATTAATATATTTTAATCTTCAACCATTACTATTTTGGTATTTAATTTTTCACCCCTTAAAAATAATCTTAAAATCATTATATTAATACTAAATTCTAAAACGACCAAGCTAATCTAACGCTTGATTCACTTCTAAAGAGACTACATTTGCTAGAAGAATGGCAGGATACAGGAAGGCATGCACCAGTGAAGTAAACGTAATATTTAGAAAGGACAAAGCTTATGCAGGATTCTCTAAAACTGTTGGTACTACAGCACAGAACACTGTGGAATTGTGGGAGACTTATGATCCAAACTTGATCAAGATCACTGATGTAGAACTGGATGATGTTTCTGTACTCTATCAAAAAATACAATCAGGAGTCAACATATCAACAACAGATGTGAGGAAATATCTGTATGCTTGTACCGGATTATTTAAAATGAAGGTGGAAATTGACCTCTTTGTATCACCAAATTACAAGATATCAAAGGACACAGAGATTACACCATTGTCATTGTACAAGATGGATCCAGTCGCAGTACCTGGGAATGAAACCACTAAAGCCAAGTACAAGGAGGCTTTAATGAACGTGTTGTTTGCCATCAGATATTCTAGGGCAGAAAACGATGCATATCATAACCAGCTGAAGAAAACGATCAAGAAAACTAAATCCAATTGGAATTATCCTCCATGGATGAATGGAGTGACCGCTGATAAACTAGATGACATTCTGGCTGCATATGATTGGTTCCTCTACCTGAAAGAGACTGAAGACCAACCACTCCGTTTTGGAACGGTCACGACGCAATGGAAAGATATGGGCGGATTTAGAGACTTCTGCTTCACACCAAAGTTGTTTGATGGAGAGCCAGGGAGGATTGTAAGATGGGTACAAAACTCTGCAGTTGCGGACTCCATATTGAAGATGCACATGATACCGGGAACTATTGGAGAAGTAGGAAGTTCGTTCCCCTATTGTAAGTCTATGGGTATCGTCACAAAGAGCGACTTGTCTGTATCAGAACATCCTTCTATGCACGATTACATCCATATCATAGGAGCTTTTCTTGGCAATCCCAGATCCTCAAATTCCAGATTCGTATCAGGAAGCATTGCAAGGAGGGATGTGTGTTTCGCAGCAATGTGTGTAATGGCGACTGCCTCAATGCAGAGTGGAGTACAATTGGCTGACAAAGAAAGCCGGATTATCAACAAGATCACTGCGAAGGCATTGCGGGTCGATGAGAGCACAGCAAAACAGATACCTGACGTGGCAGAATTGTGGATACAAACATATAACTCTGACCCTTCCAGAATCGGAGCTTGGATAAAGTGTCGTTTAACCTCTACCGTGAAACCTCGTCTACACTCCATTCTAGAGTATTTGATGGTTTCGCACAAGGACTGGATTGATGTAAGCTCTAGAGATCAAGCATCAGCTGATACAGATACTGAGCAAGAAAATTGAAATAATGAATATCTTCAAATCTTGTTAACAATTGATATATTATTCATTTTTTAAACAATTTGAGAACATTTAATCAGATCAATTATTTTAAAGAAAACACATTAGTAATATCAAACCTAAATCAATCGTGTACCAAAATATGTTTGTTTTGTATCAACTATAACCGTATAGTCAACTTTTAATATGTTATTTTTCAGATAATATGAGTTCAAACAAAAGGCCATCCAGAAGCAGCTCAAAGACAAGAAAGTCCAATGTTACAGGGCCCATATCCAAGACTCCTTCTCTTGATTTTATGGCAGAGTTGTCCACTGAGATAGAAAATTCATTCAATACACCTGGACTGTCTTATGCAGTTAAGAGTGCTAACGATAGTCTGCATGATGTAGGTTTACAACCTGATGACTCTGAAATGCTTTGTGACCCAATGAATGATAGGGTCCCTGCCAGAACTGAAGATATAACCACAGAACCTCCAGCTTTATTTACTAAAGAGACATTTCAAATTCAAGATGATGATGAGTCAGATATGGAATCAGAGATTGACAGTGGTATTCCATTTTTGTTACCAAAAACTGTAGAGGAAGCTAACTATGTTCTAGGACTACATTGCTCATGTGGGCATATTGTTGTAGACAGTATCAACAGAAACAAGTATTATTTAGTAATGAAGACTCCATGCACCAAGGAAAACAAGGAGCCAGAACAAACTGTAGTAGATCAATCAGTATGTATCGAGGAAGAAGTAGAACCTGTCTACACAGAATCATCACTAGATAAGCATCTTAGAGGAGTAAAGAGGACTAGAGAGGATTATGATGAACTTCCTGCAAATGCCAAGAAAGTTATCAAGGAATTTGCTGAAGGAAGGACACCAAACTTCGCACTAATGGATAGTGAGACCATGATGCAATGTGCAGATTACATATAAGATAATATCATGAGTACTATCATTATTTTAGACCCATTCTTTTTATTTGAATTGTTTAACATGATTCTTGTTTGTATTTTTCAATTAGTAAATTAAGTTTGAATTTAAATTGGTTGTATTAATTGTTTTGTTTCAGAAAAAAAAAAAAAAAAAAAAAAAAATACTAAATTCAAAACACTATTTAAAAAATTCTGAATTTGAATAAAACCGAATTGAGACAAGTTTTAAAAATTAAATTTCGAATTTGAAAAAAAAATTTAGTTTCTGCATATGTTACCCTCTGGGTTCCCATTGGTTCCATTTAACAAAAAATTTAGCCATTTGGTCCAGCCGTTTGGCCGGCTATAGCTTACATATATGTATGTATATTGTATATAGATGAATGAACAGATTTTATTAAATCGATATAACCTGCTATCAAAATGCTACGAAATATTTTCAATTCATAATTTATTTTGATAATACATGTATTTCATTTTTTATGCTGGATTGCCTCTATTAGCAGAGATTAAACTATATAAAATGGATTTGTTGTGCAATTTACGTGCAGTGTCAATGTGCAAATTTTGCCGCACATCTTTCGTTGCAATAATTATGCACATTTATGGGCGGAGAATTTTTTTGCACAGAATTTTTTGCCCTTGCGCGCAAAACTTTTCTTAATTCACAATCAAATTTACATATTTTTTGCTAAACTTGTCTTGTAACCCTGTCTCATCATTTTTTTATTATTAAAACAGAAAAGATTGACGCAAATTAATCTTTAGTTTAACAGAGTATATGCAACTCAGTGTTACCTAAGGTTTATGGGAGCAGAAGCAGGTCGTCTTACACCTACAAAAATATATATTATAGTTTGGGAATCCAGCTTTGCCTGGAAACTAAACTTAAACTGTAACTTTTAAACAAAGCTAAGAATATTCCCCTAGTTCTAACAATTTTCTCAGTCTAATTTTAGGCAAATCGGTGAAAGGGTTCTAAAGTTATGAACGGGGCATACAAACAATCAGAGATTACTACTTTATAAATAGAGTTACTTGATAATTTTTTTTGGCTTATTCTTAATGATTCTGTCAGGCTTATGACTCTAGGGAATTCAATCCAAGATTTAAATAGTTTTCTTGTAACATTAAATTGTATGTATCTATATATAAAAAAAGAAATTCTTTTAAACTGTAAGAGACTCAGCCTTGACTCGGATATTTTTGG